TATATACAATTTTCAAAATAATCTATTTTTTAAATATTTCTAATATTATACATAGACATCTGACATGTTTATAGTGGGCTTTAAAGGGTTAGCTCACCCAAATGAAAATTAGGCTGTGTTTTACTCACCCCCGAGGCATCCTAGGTGTATATGACTTTCTTCTTCTGTTTACAACAGTGAGCGCAAGCTAGATTAAAGTGATTATTACGTTTTGAATATGGATATTTTTCTTACAAAAACGCATTGATTCGCTACAGGAGGCCTTTGTTCACCCCCCGGAGCCGTGTGAGACACTTTTTTTATGGATGGGCGCTTTTTATTTAACTTCTTTTGGACTGAAGCAATGCAACACCCGCTGAGTAGCATTAAACAGCTTGAAAGATCAAAGACAATTTTTAATATAACTCCGACTGGATTCGTCTGAAAGAAGAAAGTCATATACACCTAGGATGCCTCGGGGGTGAGTAAAACGCTGCCTAATTTTAATTTTTGGGTGAACTAACCCTTTAAGGGATACTATTCTCTAAAGCTGCTTGAAACAAAAAGTAAAAAAAATTTGAAAAAAACCCCAAAAAAACTATAGAAACATTTATTCATAAATCATGTATTCACAAATCAAACAATGTTTGTAGAAAAAAAAAAAGTTTTATTCATACAAAAAAGTCTACTTTTGAGAACTACAAAAGTTCAAAAGGAAGTCATGTATTTCTACACATTTTGCAGTTTTGATCTGGACGATAAAACTGAACACAGATAGTTGCACACTACTACATTGTCAAAATTACAACCAGAAACCTGAATCGATCAGTCCCACTAAAATCACGGTGGTGCCGTATTCGTGTTCACCGTCCCGCTACAGGACAGCTGTCTGATGGTGATGAAGTCCTCAGTGATCCTTCATCTGGTCCTCCTCCTCCAGTCTGCGTAGCTCTCCCTTCAGGAAGTTGATGTTTTCTCTGGAGGCTTTCAGTCGCTCCTTCAGCTCTGAGATCTCCAGGCTTGTCTTCTTCTTCGCCGCTTCCACTTTTTCTCGTGTTCGTAACTCCAGCTCTGAAACTGAATGTTTGGTTCACATGATTAGAACTGCTGTGACTCTAGTGTTTATGCTGTCTATTTCACAGTATTTTCACATGCTGTCCAATGATAGGAGCTGTGAAGGTAAGCGAAGCACTCACACTCAGTCTCGTGTTTGTAGGCACCTAACGTCAGCTGTCTGGTGGTGTTCAGGAGCTGTTGCATCATGGCTGTAGGGTCTTGAAATATCTGCAGAAACACAGATTTTAGGCTTTAGGATTGATTGTATTAATACTGTAATGTCATGCTGTGCTGTTCTCATCGAATGCGCACCATCTCGTCGTAGAACTCAGACACGACGGTCTTCTTCGGCATGGCGCTGGAGTCTGACTGGAAGAGCTTCAGCAGATGATACAGAGTGACCTGAAGACAAAAACAGCACAACGTCAAAACTTTGCTTTTTTTGTCCATTTAATCCAAAGGTAGACTAATGCAGAGGGTTTCAAACTGGTGCTTTTCAATTCAATTTATGCTTATCTGTATAGCACTTTTTACAATACAGTGCCGTGGAAAAGTTTAGAGAAAAAACGTGTAAAATAATTTACAAATAAAAA